CCTGTTGGTGAACAGACCAGCAGACTGAGCTGTTATCTTGTGACCTAGAATAAATAACTGGAATTTTATTCCTTGTTCTGCAAGCTTGTACTTGTATCACTGATTTCACCAGTGATAACTAGTGGTCATCAAGGCAATTAGGAAAATAGTATAATTTGTAGTACACTACAAAGTCCTATTTGTCCTGACTTTAATTTGTGGACATGGTTTTAAAACGTGTATTAAATGTTGTCTTTTTGCACTCTCTAACAGATAACTACTTTCTCATTAAAAAAAAAAATACTTTTAAAAAGTTTCTATTTTATCTATCTTTTAAGTGAACACACATTTTCAAGGATAATTATTTTTTCTGGTAACACTTGTAATCCTATCTCAATTCAGATGAAATATATGTATAATGTGGGGGCACTATCAAAAGTTCTAATGTGACATTTATGTGTCAGTTTACTGAATAGCTAACGAGTCCTGCCCCTCCGTGAAATACGTCAATATGACACAAGCAATGAATTATTGAAACAATATTGATTTTCACTCTTGAGGACACCAAAAGAAGATGCATATTTGCCACAAGTTTTTTGGTCACCAGACTTTGGGGATCTAAATCAGACAACTTTCTCCCCAAGCTGTCGGCTAGGAAAAAATACAGGCTAAATTGAGACAGTAATTTGTCTGACTTAAAATAGCATATGGACTTCAGAAAATAATTGCATTGATATATTATAACTAAGTAGAATCAGTGGGAGACATGTAAATATTCCTGTATGGTTTCTATTAGAGTCTCTGTCCTTGAAAATCACTTGTAATCTTTGTATTGACCTGTAGTAGTATTTAGGTTCAGGTGCCTAATTTAGCAAGGCCATGTTTAGGGATGATCAATCAAAAGCCTATATGGTATGGCTGCAGTTAGTTTATCTGCTCACCTCACACTTTGAAATCTGCTTCTTGGCAATTCTTATGATGACAGATTTGCCATCATGGCAACATTAAGATTCTAGGATTACTGTAGGGCTGTGATGAGTTGAAATTTACTCCCCGGATACCTGAGCCCCTATTACCCGACCCTACTGTAGTACCGGCTGTAGGTATGGAGTTGGCGACAAGATGTCCCACTGGGAGTTGTTTTACCCGTAGCCCTAGCAAAAACTATTGACATACACTTATAAAATTGGCTCACAAATTTCAAAATCAAAAGGAATGCAGCATAGTCACAATGAAATGCAAACTTTGGCGACTTGGGTAACCATGAAGTTTTACTGTTACTGTCATTAAACAATATATCATGTGACTAGCCACGGGTCAAGGTAGTCCTGTGGGTCCCCAGGTCATTCTCAGCATCCACTAGACCCGAGTACCCGAGTTACCCTTCTCAGCCATGGTACAAGGATCCTACAGACACAGTTTTTATGTTGTTAAACATGAAATTCCTTGTGTTAAAGTATTCATAGAGGACATAAGTTTTGGCCAATCTTGCAAAACATTTCAAATTAATAGTGTATTTCAAACTCTGTAGCAAATCACATACCATATAGTGCTGTTTTTAAGGTGAGTTTTTCTGCCTAGAATATGGGGGTTTTCAAGGGGGTTCGTCTTATACACAGGGTTGAAGACTTTTGAATTTTTTTCCCCAACACAAAGACATTACTGTGAGCAGGTAACACCGGAAATACTATGTCAACAAATCCGTACTGAATTCGGCATATTCATCATGTAATTACACTGTCTGGTTATAAAAGAGTTCATTATATATCTGGACTAATGTTTGTAATCTATTTTATTAATTGTATTCAAAACTTCATTCAATTTTGTTTATATTCATTTTGGCGAAATCATATGTGAAGTGATCGGAAGATCGCACAACTCACCATTATTTACAGCAACCAGTCATCATATTACCGCTATTCAACACGCCTTGAAACGAACTTTAGTGGATAGAGAATGGATATATATATATATCATAAATGCCATATATTGCATCACCCAAAGTCATATTCAGTGTAGTTTGACTACTATATTTCAACATAAAGTGTTTGCTATCACGAGCGCGAGAGCATCAACGGTAATTTGTCATATTGTTCTATACGACAAAATATCCGTTAATAGCGATCTGCTGTACCAAAGTGGTATGCTTATTAATTTATTTAAAATATTTTTGGCTAAAGCTGAAATAAAATAACATGATATTGGAATAAATTATTCCTGATAAAATAATAGTTTCAGATAGTTTTCTCTGATCATTGTATCAAAATTCTTTAAGGTTATATTAGTGGGTAATTTTTAACCGAATGACCAGCAGATTCAAAGAAATGTGTGTACAGCAGATTGCTTCTTCCGGCTTAGTTTACGAGAAAATACAGATGGTAATCTTAATCTCTTCATATAAAACAATGCCTATCAGAACAGGAAATACAATTTAATCGGTAAGCCATCATGTCTAGTGTATTTTTTATCTTAAATTTCAAATTTGTCTTGACTAAGTTTCCCTGAATTCGCTGAAGGCATACAATGTATTTGTTTCTGCAGAAGACAAACATGTTTTTATTGTAGGGATTGTGTTTGTGCTTATGACGTGCTTCATTCCGATTTGCTTTATAGACGGGGTATATAAATTTGCATCGAATTTTGAAGGCTTGTACAGGGGGGTCCCCCTTTACGTGGGGGCGCTTTATAGACGGTGATATACGGTACTAGTTGAACAATTATGCCAGTTATCAATACTTGAAACTGAAAAAAGTAATTTTGATGATATTGAAGATGTGAATTCTAGTTTGGTGTTTCGACTGTACAAACTACTCGGTAACATACTCCTGGGTATCTTCATGGCATGGTTGTGCCGACAGGTTGTGCCGACAGGTTGTGCATGTCTACTGGTATGATGTTCTGCTGCAGGGCTTGACCTGTTATGTTAGCTGCATGGCTTGACCTGTGTATCAAAATTCTCCAATGACCTTGTTTGTCTGTCACCTCCAGGAAGCATGTACTAAACAGTCAAATCATCAAACCTACATAGTTTCATATTAACAGTGAAATAATTCCAAATGGACACAGCTGGCTTATTCTTTGTGGAAAACGTGAACATGTGTTGCACCTTTGCCTTGGCCTTCCCTGGCCTCCCATCTGTAACCTTGATGCAGGATGTACAGCATTAATGTAGCATCATGTAACTTAACATGTTGTTGAGGAAATGATCCTATGCCCAATGCGTGTAAAAAAAGTGGCCTTCCTTATGTATATGTTGTTGAGGAAATGATCCCATGCCCAGTGTGTGTAAAAAAAGTGGCCTTCCTTATGTATATGTTGAGGAAATGATACCATGCCCAGTGTGTGTCATTAAAGTGCCCTTCCTTATGTATATGTTGAGGAAATGATCCCATGCCCAGTGTGTGTCATTAAAGTGGCCATCTTATGTATGTTGTTGAGGAAATGATCCCATGCCCAGTGTGTGTAAAAAAAGTGGCCTTCCTTATGTATATGTTGAGGAAATGATCCCATGCCCAGTGTGTGTCATTAAAGTGGCCTTCCTTATGTATATATGTTATTGAGGAAATGATCCCATGCCCAGTGTGTGTCATTAATGTGGCCTTTTTTATGTATATGTTGTTGAGGAAATGATCCCATGCCCAGTGTGTGTCATTAAAGTGGCCTTCCTTATGTATATGTTGTTGAGGAAATGATCCCATGCCCAGTGTGTGTCATTAAAGTGGCCTTCCTTATGTATATGTTGTTGAGGAAATGATCCCATGCCCAGTGTGTGTCATTAATGTGGCCTTCCTTATGTATATGTTGTTGAGGAAATGATCCCATGCCCAGTGTGTGTCATTAAAGTGGCCTTCCTTATGTATATGTTATTGAGGAAATGATCCCATGCCCAGTGTGTGTCATTAAAGTGGCCTTCCTTATGTATATGTTGTTGAGGAAATGATCCCATGCCCTGTGTGTGTCATTAAAGTGGCCTTCCTTATGTATATGCTATTGAGGAAATGATCCCATGCCCAGTGTGTGTCATTAAAGTGGCCTTCCTTATGTATATGTTGTTGAGGAAATGATCCCATGCCCAGTGTGTGTCATTAAAGTGGCCTTCCTTATGTATATGTTGTTGAGGAAATGATCCCATGCCCAGTGTGTGTCATTAAAGTGGCCTTCCTTATGTATATGTTGTTGAGGAAATGATCCCATGCCCAGTGTGTGTCATTAAAGTGGCCTTCCTTATGTATATGTTGTTGAGGAAATGATCCCATGCCCAGTGTGTGTCATTAAAGTGGCCTTCCTTATGTATATGTTGAGGAAATGATCCCATGCCCAGTGTGTGTCATTAAAGTGCCCTTCCTTATGTATAGGTTGTTGAGGAAATGATCCAATGCCCAGTGTGTGTCATTAAAGTGGCCTTCCTTATGTATATGTTGTTGAGGAAATGATCCCATGCCCAGTGTGTGTCATTAAAGTGGCCTTCCTTATGTATATGTTGAGGAAATGATCCCATGCCCAGTGTGTCATTAAAGTGGCCTTCCTTATGTATATGTTGTTGAGGAAATGATCCCATGACCAGTATGTGTAAAAAAAGTGGCCTTCCTTATGTATATGTTGAGGAAATGATACCATGCCCAGTGGGTGTAAAAAAAGTGGCCTTCTTTATGTATATGTTGAGGAAATAATCCCATGCCCTGTGTGGGTCATTAAAGTGGCCTTCCTTATGTATATGTTGAGGAAATGATCCCATGCCCAGTGTGTGTCATTAAAGTGGCCTTCCTTATGTATATGTTGTTGAGGAAATGATCCCATGCCCAGTGTGTGTCATTAAAGTGGCCTTCCTTATGTATATGTTGAGGAAATGATCCCATGCCCAGTGTGTTTGTCATTAAAGTGGCCTTCCTTATGTATATGTTGTTGAGGAAATGATCCCATGCCCAGTGTGTGTCATTAAAGTGGCCTTCCTTATGTATATGTTGTTGAGGAAATGATCCCATGCCCTGTGTGTGTCATTAATGTTCCTCCTCCTGTTCCAGGACAGTGACAATCTCTGGTGGGATGCCTTTGCCACCGAGTTCTTTGAAGATGATGCCACACTGACGCTCACTTTCTGTCTAGAGGATGGACCAAAACGCTACAGTGAGTGAATAGGACCAGTTCCATTACAAGATTACTATAATGTGATGAAAATAGATGAAGGGGCTCTGATAAGAAATATTGTATCTCAGTTTTCTTGTGTGTTTGCATTGAGCACACTGAGTCAAAGAAGCTTATTTTGTATTGCTAATTTGCCTCCAGTTTATTTAGAATATGTCGGAAAATATTGGAAGAAAATACAGAAATTTCTCTAATCGGAATTATTTCTGTTTGCAGCAATTGGGCGGACATTGATCCCCCGATATTTCCGGAGTATATTTGAGGGTGGCGTCACTGACCTGTACTATGTACTCAAACATCCCAAAGAATCTTTCCACAACACAACGATAACTCTGGACTGTGACCAGGCCATGATGGTCACACAGCATGGCAAGCCCATGTTCACTAATGTAAGTGGAACTTGAGGACTGTAGGGGTGTGGGAGGCAAGATAGGGGTGGGTACAGCTGAGTCGGGGATGCTGCTGGGGTGTGGGAGGGAACACAAAGGGTGGATGCTGCTGGGGTGTGGGAGGGAACAGGAAGGGTGGATGCTGCTGGGGTGTGGGAGGGAACACGAAGAGTTGATGCTGCTGGGGTGTGGGAGGGAACACGAAGGGTGGATGCTGCTGGGGTGTGGGAGGGAACACAAAGGGTGGATGCTGCTTGGGTGTGGGAGGGAACATGAAGGTGGATGCTGCTTGGGTGTGGGAGGGAACATGAAGGTGGATGCTGCTTGGGTGTGGGAGGGAACATGAAGGTGGATGTTGTGTTGGGATGGATGATGCTTGAGTATCGGGGAGGGGTGGATTGTGTTTAGGTGTGAGAGGGTAGTTTAGGAACTTTCATGAAGGTGTTCCGAAAGATCAGAGGGGAGGTTGAAGTGGCATTTGAGTGGAGGGGTTGGGACCGCTGAGAGCAATATTCATGTTTTTAGAGTGAGAGGATGGTTGCTTTTCATGTGGAAAAAGTCATATAATGTATGGCAGCCCTGCTCTCACAAAATGTCCTGATTGACTAATATGATTAATGTCTTAAAATTTATTTGAAATCTCGACATCATCTTCTGTATTGCTTAATGTTCAGGTGATCACAGAGGGACGGCTGGTCTTAGAGTTCACTTTCGATGACCTGATGAGGATTCGGTCATGGCATTTTGCGATCAGGCAGCATCGAGAGCTGATTCCACGGAGTGTCATTGCAATGCAGGTAAGCACGAGGTCTGATTCTTTGGCGTGTCATTGCTATGCAGGTAAGCACGAGGTCTGATTCCTCGGAGTGTCATTGCTATGCAAGTAAGCACGAGGTCTGATTCCTCGGAGTGTCATTGCTATGCAGGTAAGCACGAGGTCTGATTCCTCGGAGTGTCATTGCTATGCAGGTAAGCACGAGGTCTGATTCCTCGGAGTGTCATTGCTATGCAAGTAAGCACGAGGTCTGATTCTTCGGAGCGTCACTGCTATCCAGGTAGACCCGTGAGCAACCAATGTTTGCCGTAAAAAGCGACTATGCTTATCCCAGTTGCGTGGATCGATGTTCATGATGTTAATCTCTGGATTGTCTGGTCCAGACGCAATTATTTACAGACTGCTGTCATTTAGATAGAATATTGTTGAGTGCACTTTTAAACAACAAACAACGAGAAAAAGTTATCCAGGTAAGTGTGAGAGCTAATTCCACAGAAGGATATTGCTATGCAGGTAAGTGTGAGAGCTAATTCCACGGAATGTCATTGCCGTGCAGGTAAGCGCGAGAGCTGGTTCCACAGAGCATTATTGAAATGCAGGTAAGCACAGCCAGCATCTGCAGCATGTCTAGCAGACATTGTCACAAATCAAAACCATTTATGTATTTAGAAGTAATGCAGTTGTCATCATGTCATGAACTGGATATTATGGCAGTAGTGGACCTGAAGGGTTAGAGAGCCATTATGTTGTGCCCACTGACTGAACACTGAGATTTGACAGTGTTGTATATGTTAGGTTGTGTACACTTGCAGCAGGACCCAGCCATGGTGGAGCAGCTGTCCAAGAACATCACCCGGCAGGGCCTTACTAACTACACTCTCAACTTCCTCAGGGTAAGACATCCCGCAGATATTTCCCTCTTGAAATAAGGAAACGATTCTCATATTTGTCTTTTCATAAGTGCAAACTGCCAGGAAATGTTAGTTTATTGTTTACACGATTTTCTAGTTTTATCACCTTTGTTGTGAAGATGAAAAGGGCTTATACACAGAGTGGTAACAGTTTAACTCTTACAATTCTTAAACAGACCCTTTCGGCTGATCATGTTTCATGTCAGATGCATAGGATCCCTTGTGCTCTTTCAGACTTCAAAGGTGAAGATGTATTTTTAGCTCACCAGGCACGGAATGATTAAGGCATTGTCACAGGCTAATATTTGACCCTAGGTCTGCACTGATTGTCTCTCATAGTATTTGAAAAAACACCCCACCTATTAAAGAGAAATAGGACTTGATATTTTGTAAAATATGGCATTGGATCTAATGTTGAATACCACTTTTTTCCAAATTGCCATGCTTTGGGCACTTTAAAACACTTTTGAAGATAGTGACATCATTTGACCAAAGTAGTGGGGTTAAAAATTGTGACATAATGGTTCCTAATTTACCATACAGCATAACATTCGAAAGTTTGGGGGGTATCGTCAATATTTAATTGTACATTTCTCCATTTCTGTGAGGTTTCTTCCTATGTGAGTGAAACTGTTTTCTTGTCAGAATAACCCTCATCAATGATGATCCTTTTTGAAGCATCCTGCAACAGTTTTTGTGTCTGTGTTTATTCATGCATTGAAATTAGTTTTGATCACTGCAATGACAAAACATTGTTGATAGATACGTGTAAATGTTGGACTTCGTGTGTATGTGTGCCGTACTGACATGGCTGTTGTTTCTACCCTACAGCTATGTGTGATCCTCGAGCCCATGCAGGAGCTGATGTCCCGGCACAAGGCGTATGGCCTCAATCCTCGGGACTGTCTCAAGACCACGCTTTTCCAGAAGTGGCAGCGAATGGTAGCGCCACCTGGTAAAGGTAGGACAACACCTTAACTACTCACTACAATTTCCTGTACCATCTTGTGTGGGGTGTGTGTGGAAGATTTCATACCATCTTGTGTGGGGTGTGTGTGGAAGATTTCATACCATCTTGTGTGGGGTGTGTGTGGAATATTTCATGCCATCTTGTGGGGTGTGTGTGAAATATTTCATACCATCTTGTGTGGTGTGTTTGTGGAATATTTCATACCATCTTGTGGGGGGGGGGGGGGGGGGGGAATATTTCATACCATCTTGTGGGGTGTGTGTGGAATATTTCATACCATCTTGTGTGTGGGGTGTGTGGAATATTTCATACCATCTTGTGGGGTGTGTGGAATATTTCATACCATCTTGTGTGGGGTGTGTGGAATATTTCATACCATCTTGTAGGGTGTGTGTGGAATATTTCATACCATCTTGTGTGGGGTGTGTGGAATATTTCATACCATCTTGTGTGTGGTGTGTGTGGAATATTTCATACCATCTTGTGTGGAGTGTGTGGAATATTTTATACCATCTTGTGTGGAGTGCGTGGAATATTTCATACCATCTTGTGTGTGGGGTGTGTGGAATATTTCATACCATCTTGTGTGGGGTGTGGAATATTTCATGCCATCTTGTGTAGGTTGTGTGGAATATTTCATACCATCTTGTGTGTGTGTGTATGTGTGTGTAAAATATTTCATACTATCTTGTGTGTGGGTGTGGAATATTTCATACCTTCTTGTGTGTGGGGGTGGAATATTTCTTCTATCTTTCGTGGGGTGTGTGGAATATTTCATTGTATCTTGTGTGGGGTGTGTGTTGAATAATTTCATTCTATCTTGTGTGGGGTGTGTGTGGAATATTTCATTCTATCTTGTGTGGGGTGTGTGGAATATTTCATATGTTCTTCTGGGGGTGTATTTTATTAGCTATCCAGCACAAGATTGGTAAATGTGTGGTTTTCTTTAAAGAAAATGCTTTTCTTCAGTTTTCTTCTAGTGATGGCAGAATACTTAAAATTAATCAGTTTTGTATTTTGACAAAAATATTTATTACATTTCAGTGCTGTGTGACTGTCATTGGCATGTTTCACAACTATTTCACACTGTAGTGAATGACTTTGATCACATGCACAGTTCATGTATTATTTTCTCCAACATGTCTGAGTCAATGTATTGACTATATTTATCCTAACCAATCCAAAGTTGCGCATGACGCTCATGTATCCAGAGCTGGATGTACTTAATCTGAGTTGGTGTAATAAACAAGTGATTGACACACTGTTACAATGGTGAAGGTGTGGTCTGTGTGAGTGACATCTGTCAGTCAAGTTGTATTGCAAATGAAATCAATGTCTTTTATCATTTTTCACATCACTTATTCTGCTTTCTATATGTTCAACTGCTGGTTTTATTTCATGTCATCTTTGTAGAAATTGGTTTTTGTTTGTGAACAGTTCTCTGCCTTTTCATTTTGTTGCTAACTCCACTGCATCGTAGGGGTGAAAAGTGTGATACCAAATTGCTGTTTAAGGATTGTTGTTGCTATGGTTATAACACAAGTTGTACTTTTTCTTGGCTAAGTGTGAAAAACATGAGTCACAGTTTTAGTGTTAGAAAATGCAATGGATAATTCTGACTCATTTTAAACATATATGATATTTTTCATGATTTTGTATTAATTATCAAATGTTGTTAAAATTGATTTGAACCAATTCAAACAGAAAGATGTCTTCCCTTTTTATCTTGAATTGAAGTAAAAACATTTTCATACCATGAAGTACAGCAATAAGTGTTATTAGGTCCATAACTTGACCACTGGTAATATTCTACTGGCTTCATCATAAAAAGTTACCTAATGATTTTTAAATTTGTGACATTTTTAGAAAAGGATATATTCCTTTGGTACTTCTTTGATAAAACATATACCCTCTCTAAAGTTAATAAGTCAATGTAATATTTCTAGAAATTCTACGGGTGATATATTTTATTCATAAGAGTGTGGTAATGGTAGTAGTACCTACAGTTGCAGTGGAGATACAGAACCTGGCCCTAGTTTTCGTCTTTCATGTACGTACACCCTATCCTTTTGGTTTCTTCTCAGTCCCCCTGCCAGCTGAACACCCGAGCCGGCGAACCTCGCCGTCTGATCAAAATATGGCCAAACATACGGGAAGTGGGCAATTTATGCCCCAGTATTGGGAAAGTAAATACACTCTTATTCCTTGCTACTCACCAACTAATCCACAAGGCCCTTCACAGACAAGAATTAATGTTCAAACGCCTGTATGCCCCATCATGTCAAACCATCGGCAGGGAAATGTTTTTGGTGGAGATATGTGTAAGCTTAAGGTTACCATGTTACAATGTTCTCACACATCATGGTACGACTTTGGTGGTCAGAATTTGAGCATCCTTATCAGAAGCTGAAGTTCATTTCTTTCTTTTCTCATTTCATTTTCAATTATGAATTTAATACCTTTGGCGAGGTTCTGTAATAAGAAATTATCAATCCATTTCATTATGATTTTCCTTTAATTCAATTTGGGTTTGGCAAGAAACCGAAGTGACATAAGGCTAATATACAAGGCATTGTCTCCATGATGATGCTTCAAGACTTGAGGTCAGCTCATATTGTTATGGTCAATGGAAAAAATGCCAACCAAAGGGGGAATCTGTTTGTCTGTAAAACTGGTTCTTCCTGCCATGGTTTGACCGTCTCTGTCCCCTATAGTCGCAGTCCTCCCTAGTTTTCTACTGCTGGTTGTTGGGACCTGTCTGTTACTACTCACATACCAGGGGCAGCAGTCAAATAGGGGAAAAGCCACTACTCTTTGGAGAATTTGTTTTCATTTTCTCAATTTGTTCAGTTCTACTTTGAACAAGAAATCTTGATTCTTTGGGTTACACTTGAACGAATGGAGGTTACTCCCACATTTAGATTTTAATTCAAAAGGTTGAAACAGAGAAGACTTCTAAATGCTATTAAAAAAAAGTCTGTCATTCATTTTGTATTTGAATTTTTGCTCATATGTTTTTTTAACCTTGCTTTGTAAATGCAAACATCTGAATGTCCCGTTAATTTTATTGTGTCCAGATTATGTACCAATGGCACATTGGTGGCTTTATCTCATACTTGGTTCTGCCCCTTAATTTGCTTGTGGATGTGGAACTTTTGCATTGTAGAATCTAATGCCTGTGTTTGACTGGATGTGCTGGACACTGTAGGCCAGGACGGCCGCGTGTTGCCCCCTGGTCAATGTACTGCAGTTTGTAATACTTTCAGTCATACTTGTTTTCTTAGCCAGGTGAAAGCGGCAAATGTCAGACAGTTTGTCAGTCCAAACAACACTTGACTATAACACCCTAGTATAATGTTATTAAGTTGTTCACAGAGAACATAACTTCAGTTATTTCTAACAGGCTTGAATTAATTATTTCTAATATCTAATGACACAGAAATAAACATTTGAGAATCTGCTCTTACAGGAGTAAGCTCAGATATAGCTAAATCTCTAATTTTGAATAAAGTTCTGCTCTAATATAAAGTTTTGCAAGTAGAAGATAAAATTGTAGCATTAGTGATTTTACTTTGTCATTGACAGCATGTCTTCATGAGAGTAGTATCTCGGATAGTCTAATATACAGGCAGCATGGAGTTAATGGCCATCAGCTATACAACATCAGTGTATAAAGCTAAAAGGCAGTGTTGAGTTTTATAACTCTGATTTGATTCAAATTGATGTCATAATTTCCGTTCATTTGTATGATTCCTATTCTGTTGAAAAACAGATATTTCTTCTGAATTCAATCTATTTACAAAAAATCATTTGTGAATAATAACCCCCAAACAGATAGTAATATTAATTCATTGATGATCAGAATTCTGCCCAAGTTGCCTTTACCATCACACATTGGATCCGTCTAAATGGAAGTGATCAGAATAATTTGTAGAAATTTGTTTTGAAAAAGTGAGTTTATTTTTAACACAGCAGCTTGCTAATCGCCATACATGTATTGTTAATCAGAACAATGTAGGATCGAGTTCACTTACCAGGGCTCGTTTCAAATTGCAGACAAAACAGGTGATAATATTTTGAATATATTGAGAACAATTCTTTTTCAGTTTTTCAAAATTTGATGAATTAATAAATTAGAGCATATTATAGGATGTGTAAAATGTATAGGATGTCAAAATGATTATTCATGCTTTCATTGTGGACATTATGTATAGATATAGACTGAGAGGGAAGCTAGAGGTTTTGTTGTACATGTGCTTCTTGCCTTTTGTATTTCTGTGTTAATATGTTTGAATCAATTATAACCATTTTCCAGATCTAGATGTATCAATATTGTGGACAGACTGAGAGCTGGTACAATTTTTCTTTCTAGCAACAAGTCATGTACTTTCAGAGGCAACCCGGCCACCTAACAAGAGGCGGAAGAGAAAGGCATCCACGGGGAACAACACGGGCATCAACAGCCGAGAGGGAGGGCCAAACAAGAAGCGCTCGCCTCCCCAGGCCTTCAACATTGGGTCGTCAGTACCAGGGGTAAGTGGTGAGGATGGATTTTGTATTGTTGATTCTGTCTGACTGTCTGTTTTGTTTGTCTGTCCATCTGTGATAGTTTAATCAGTCTTATATAGCTGGATTTACCAACTTACCATTAATTTTATTTTGTTTCTGTCTGTATATAAAGTTTTACATAACATTTCTGTCTAAGATCTGTCTTTAGATGTAGTTTTTAATACTAAAAACTAATTATAACAGTAGCTACCTCATTCCCTATTTAATACCAGAGCTTACCATGACTAACCTAGCTGTAGCTCAGCTGGTCATTGAGCAGTGGAGATGATGTCATCATGTCTGTTGGCTGGTGATTACGTCTATACAGTTGATGCAGGTCGCGTCATGTCTCTACACGTGTGGTCAGGCAGTGGAATGCCAACCAATAAGGCTGGGAATATGTAACAATCATCCTTTGGTTGCCGAATTGCTTTAAGTTGAATGACAATCAGTTAAGACTGTTATTACTGTAGGGTTTAAATTTTAGTCATGTGACTTGGCTGCCTCTAGGTATGTCCCACTACTTTCTTTATGTTAATTTGTTTGAATGAGTTTTTGGCTTATCAGCGACACAAAACACTGGGATTGAAGTTGTGCCATGGATGTGAAATAGGAGATTTTATTGGGTTTGTCTCTTGAGACGTGGCAAAAACCCACATGTCAGTGGCTTTAAGTTTTGGTCTTATTCCAGATTTTAGGTCAACAACTTTCACCAGCTTTCAGATATGATAAAACTAGTTTGTGTTGCAATGTGATCATGTTAACCTTTAGCATCTGTGCTAGCACAATGAAATCAATATTTGTTTTCTATCCAATTGAGCACAGCCTCGCTCTCAAGTTCAGGTTACATACAGTTGATGTTTTATTGAAAATGATACATATCAGGATAGTATGAAAGTAAGTAAGATATTGTTCACATTTAAATAATATTCTTAACTCTTCTTCTAGCATTAATGGAAAAAAGAAAGAAACGGGATAGTGTACGAATTGAAATGACAGGCAAATTGAAGAAAGATATTTCTCTTTCAGAAATATCATTTGTGGTACTCATGAAACACATGTCATTTCACTGTTACTATTTACAGTTCCATGGACAGATTCTTCCTACATTCAGTAAGAACTCTCAAACAATGTATTGACAAATTGCTATATCATTCTCCTGAGTGAAGTGCCCCCATGTTCTCCCAAGTGTTTGTGTATCTGTCAGTAAGATGGTGAGGAGAATGTCCCCCCGTGTTAACCATGTTTCTGTGCAGGATGTGATGGTAGTGGGTGAGCCGACTCTGATGGGTGGTGAGTTTGGGGATGAGGATGAACGGCTCATCACCCGTCTGGAGAACACGCAGTACGAGCCCAATGCTGGGGAGGAGGAACAAGACAAGTTCCAGAACTCACCGGCGCTGCAGTCGGGGTCGTGGGGACAACAGGACAAGAAGACGCCACAACCCACGGCAACTACGCCCGTGTCCGAGACAGAGATCAAAACAGAATGAAAAACAAGATAGGTTTTGGAATTACCATGAGAATTGTGAAAAACTATAGAAAGGATCTCGACAGTGAAGGAAAGCAATGGGACAATCTAAGAGTAACACTGGGCTACACAGATACCGATATCTGATATTAACTGAAATGTGACTAAATTGTAACGTATGAAAGAAGGTCACTTTGGGGGTATTGATGGAGCTCTCGATGACGTTATTGTCAGCTTTTGTTCGTGAATAAAAAGTTAAGTAAATTATATTTGTAAGTGAAAGTGAATCAGATTGATAACAGAGATTTGGGAGTTACAATGAATAGAATATGGATTTGAAATTGACTCTATGTATGTACTTACTTTTTATGTTGTTTCAACATTGAAAATACTTTGGAAAGATCTGTATTTTGTTTCATTGATAATTGACCTGGTGTGGTAGATTTTCTTAAATTGAGATGTTTCTTCATGCTGTCGCAGGCTTACAAGTTCAATGATGTTGCTACAATTGACCTTTCATCTGATCGACATTCAGGGTTCATGTGGTATATGATACAATTGTCTGTGTAGTTTAGTATTTATAAGATTTCATTTGAATATTTATTTACCCTGATGCATTTCAGAGCTTCCAGTTATATCCAGAGGAATAATTAAGTTGTTTCAAATTTTGTCAAACATGAATCTCTACACTCAAGGATACTGAAAATTGTGGAGTTGTTTGAACAGAACTTCCCTACTACCGAGGTATAACACCTACAGCACAACTATGTAGGACCAGGTGACAGTTTCATAGCTGTCAATGAGTATTTATTTTGCTTTGAAGCATCAGAACTAAGGGCAAACAACTAATAAGCGTTTTTAACCGGACACTTACCGGGTATGTGCTGGTACAAATGTTATTATGAAGTCTTATCAAAGGGAAGTAACTCTGATGTTTCTCCAGTTGTCCCACCATTCCTTATGAAGCCTCATTGAAGGAGTACATATCTGTATTTTAAGTCACTTATCAGTTTCATTCTACTTCACTTTGAGTTTAATATTTTGTCCATAGTTTTGATTTCCTTCCTCTTTCTTATCCAAATAAACAACTGTTCAAGGCAGCTTTGAAGAAAGAGAAGTATTTCAACCTGTTTGGTGTTGTCAGCATAAGATTGTCCTGTTTCGTGGACACTGAACAAAACAGAATTTGTAAGGAACAAATAAATCTTTCATCGAGCAAATGTGTTGTCATTATCATACTTCAATACTGTTTTGCTGGTATGACGTAATACTGTATGTATCAACTGTGACTCTTTCATGAAGCATTATATATCATATATCACCGAGTAAATTACCATGAAAGCATGAAAGGCTCAAGAATGCATTAGATAGTGGCCTTTGATGTTCTCTATCATGATGAAGGTCACAAAGGAAGGTCTTTGAAAACTGAAATTAGAAGGCACAATGTCAGCTTATTCGCCCCCATTTGGAGATTAGATGACTGGTTTGTTTTCATAAGCAAGATGGGTCCTCAATGCGTCTGTCATAATGTTGCAGAACAACAGGGTGCATGCAACACCGCCTTGCATTCATGGGTGTTCTTTCTTTGATAATCACTCCACAATGAACTGCCACCTTGTTTAGCTAACCTGTGGATCTGACACAGAATCCCTTTGAAATATTGCAGACTTTTTTATGCTTTCAGACTGAACTGTATATTTATTTCCTTATTTCCTTTCAGAGTTGTAAATACAAATAGATCCTTATAAATGTCCTGTATGAACTCTACTGTGTGTAACCTCATGCTTCCACTAAAACTGTTGCAATGTATTCCTGAAAGTCAGTTGCCATTATTGGCACCATTATGTTTTGTTCCTGATATTATTTAGTGCCTGGCCTGAGTTTCTCCTTAAATCATTATATATACTCATGGGGCTGGGGGACACAGCATTGTACATTCTACATTTGATGTGTAATCATTGTGGTCAGTTGTAAATGTCCTAGTATTCTTAGTCAACAAAATTGTTGTGGGTAATTTTCATCAAAACATTGAATAAAACTATATGTTTTCAATGAACTCCCCAGCTCTGTTGTCTGTAAGTCTGCCAGTTCTTGTGGGTTCCAGGACATAGAGACTTTGGAAGCTTGGAGGATTCAAAAGATTGTATTGGCCAAATTGCAGCTTAAATTGGCTTCCATGAAGTGTCATAGTGGTATAATTGTTTGCTCACCGTCCGTTGTCCATTTCAGTTTCGTCTTTTGTGAATCAACTAAAGTGATGAATGGGAAACTTCAGGAGAAACATCAAATCAAAACATAATAATTCTTAACGATGTCCCCGGGTCTGTATTTAATTTTTCAAAGATTTAAAAAATCTAGTTAATTTGATCTAACTTTCCAATTGAAAATGAAAGGGTTTTACTCTTCAACTACCATATTCAATCTTTACTGAAAAGGCATAATTTATAGGGAATTCACTCACTGTGTTACAGTTTTGTCACATACTAATAAAACATGAAATTCATCCTCACTCTCCCCTAATTGGCAGTTTTTACAGATACTCATTTCAGCTACCCTTTGTTCACATTTATGTCTAAAATTTACATTGAAATTTTGTGATGACACTCTGAATTTACATTATGCCCTAACAAGCGGTTATCAACTAATATTCTTATTATATACTTCTCTGGTTCTATTGACCTTTTTCACACTTTTACCATCTTGGATCGAAAACAAGGCTTGGAGAGCAAAGCTCCATGCAGTGTGAGTCGCAATTGCGGATAGGGAACAGAGCGATTGTTGTGCATTTCACTGAAAGACATTTCAAACAAAAAATGGTATCCCGTGTATTCTAATACAGAAGATATTGCAAATTTAATACTGAGGTCCAACTAAAATATGCCTGCAATACACTTGAATTCGCATTTTGCTGTCAGGATCCCGGAAGTGAATCGAAAGGTGCATTTCGAGATACATATTTCCTAAATAGATTGTTTTATCATAACCTCGCCGGCATATGGGTACAATGTGATAGTATATTCAATGACAGAAGTTTAGTATCATAATTGAAGTACGTATCATGAAACACGTCTGTTTATTTTGCTAATTTGCTCAGTCAATGTGTGGCTTAGCCAACTCAGATCGTTGATCATGTTTATTTCACGTTTCATAGTTGTGTTTGTTGCACCACCCAGTATCATTTTGGCATGAGTCCAGTTGACAGACACTTTTTCTGCTATGATTTTCATCCAAACATGTTACCTACATGTAAATGAAATTAGTTCACAAATTAACTTGTTTGTCAAAATGAATATTCAGAAGGGGAGATAACTCTATTCAGTGTGTACAATGACTGATGAAAACTTTTCCTTCAAACAACACTTATTTAACCGATTATTGGTGATTACGATTGCACCTTGCACGACAAAAGTAACAAGAGGCCAATAGGGCCTGTATCACTCACCTGGAAATTTAGGTAATCATAACAAAATAACATGATTACATACCGGATATAAAATACTGCAAATATTTCGATTTTTTCACTCTCAGTATTTAAAAGGGGTGGATGGCAAATCTGCCCGCATGAACATTTATTTCTCTAGATACATATGGTTGATGTCCATCTCTTAATTCCAGAGGAAATGTCGTTTACAGCAATATAGCCAAATTACCCCTATTTGGCCCCGCCCCTCAGCCCCACCATTTGTACAATTTTGAATTCCCACCACCTAGGGATGCTTCCAACCAAATATGGTTGATATCTATCTCTTAGTTCCTAGAGAAGAAGTTGCTTTAAGCAATATAGCTAAATTACCCCTATTTGGCCCCACCCTTCAGCCACTTGAGGGGTCAGCCCCTCCTTTTGTACAATTTTGAATTCCCACCACCTAGGGATGCTTCCAACCTAATATGGTTGATATCTATCTCTTAGTTCTGGAGAAGAAGTCGTTTAAAGCAATATAGCCAAATTACACATGTACCCCTATTTGGCCCCGCCCCACCATTTGTACAATTTTGCATCCCTACCACCTTAGGATGCTTCCAGTCAAATTTCGTGAATTTCCAATTTAGTGGTCCAGAAGAAGAAGTTGTTTGAATAAATTGTCGACGTACAGGCAACGGACAACGGACTCCATGGAATGGCATAAGCTCACCTTGGTCCTTCGGACCGGTAAGCTAATAATGTGTGAAATCTTTAAAATACGTTAAAATGAAACTTAATATTAATATAAATAAATATTGCATGAAATAAAAGAAATATAAGAATTGATACAAACATCAACTTCTTGAACACCCTGACCTAATCCTATATGATGATGGAGAATTGTATATCAAAATGAGGCTACTAATACAATTATCCTGAATAGTATGAAAATGTCTTGATCAGATATGGGCACAGATAAAATAACAAGGTGAAAAGGAATCAACTTCAATTGGTAATCAAACCAAGATATAATAAATGTACCGGTACAAATTATGTTGATAGATTGAAACAAAATAAACGAATCAGCATATATCAATCACTGTAAAGAGGTTTAAATATGTGATGTGTCATCAAATTGAAAGCCAAATATAAGTTTTCTGTTCCTTTTTAGTCATAGCAGGATGATAATTAATTATTTGTTTGATTTCAGAATGACAATAGAAACCATGTCAGTAGATTAATAAAAGAATCTGGATCTGTAGATAGATTTTCTTACCCTTTAGTTCAGAGTGACAAGAATAAATTTAACTTGCCTTCTTCCAAACTTTTGTATATATATATTCTTTCTTTGACACTGGCTACAAAACTATTCATACACCAAATCAACTAAACAAAATTACACAAGAATTGTGGAATATAAAAATTAAATTTGACAACATACAAGATTTAGTTAGTGAAACAGGTTTTCAAATGTTTTCAAACCAGTAAGTGTGTCTGGTCTAAATAATGAAGTTCATGCAGATAAATGTATGATTTGATAATATTTATGACCAAACAAAAATATCAAAGTATTCTTTTCATAAAGTTTCAAAAATAAATCTACAAATATATATTTACAGTCTATTTGCACTCTATCTTGAAAGCTGGATATATGTGAATATTACATTGTTTATTAATTATCCAAAACTTATATTTACCATATCATACATGTAGATTATTACATTTCATGATGAGAAAATCTGAGTTTTGAAGGAAGTATTGAAATTTCTCATATTTAACAAAGAAAAACAAACCAAAATTTTAATGTCTTTTTGTCTCACAATATAAGCTTGTGTATCGTCCACTTCAGTTCTTCAGATTTTTCGATATTTAACATGACCTGGGTGTTTTTGACAGTCAAAAGCACCTAATTAAATTCCAGAGTTTTCTTGCTTGAGAATGGTACAATGTGTTTTTTTAGAATAGTTTTATTCAAACATCATGAGTCTGATAAATATTGGCCATGTTGTTGAGTGAGTGAATAAGGTTTTTCACTTCCTGGTCCTATTTAAGTGAAATGTGACAGGAAGCACATTGTAATCAGTGTGTTATTGTCAGCGGAAAAACTCCTCCAGACATCCATCACCGGATACTTCATTGTGTTGACTCTAGACTCAAAGCCTGAAATAAATAATTTAATAATATTGTAATAATATTTCTACTTCTATGATTTTTTTTTATAAAAAATGCATATTCACCTTCTCTCAAAATATTACTTATTCAGAAAACAACATTCAAAGAAAATATATGAAAAAGACTTGTATTGTTTTTGTCAAATGAAATGTTTATTTCATCTTGTGGTTTACTAAAGTTGATATTTTGACTTGTGGCTGTGCCACTCATAGAAATATTAACTTTGTCAGATCACAAGATGAGATAAACTCATGCTATCATCATTATTTGACAAGGAAAACAAATTTCCTCTATGTATTTATACTTTTTTATATTTCTTGTCTTGATTGAATTATCAAAATGATCACACCACTTGACTTGATTAAAATAAACTAAAGTTCTAAAGATTGTTACAAATAGCAAAGTATTAGATCTACATCATAACTATTAACAATATAATTATTGCACAATGATAAATTAATATGATTAATATTCAATGATACATAACATGACATTTGTTTGCACAAAAGAAATTATTTTGTTTTAAAAGTTGCTAAACATGTTTTGTGTACATAAACCAGATGGATTGCACAAATAAACAAAGGGAATAAATGAGTTATGGTTGCAATACCCATGTGAATTACACAACATTCATTAAAATAATTCTGTTTATAGTAATCTCAATCTCAATTTATGAATATGCAATGTTTTAATACACACTGTTAAAGAGTTGTCTGTTTCTGTACATTACATAAAGATCACATGTAGATTGAACATTTACTGGCCATTAATTAGTTAAGTTTTTGTTCATTTCATGACATGATTAACTTGGTTCAGAAAAGTAAATAGTAGAAATATTGTTTACAAAATTGCAGATCAAACTTTACTTCAGTTTAAATATTAACACACCCGTTATGTAATAATTCAGTTAAAATTCTACACCTCATGCTATCTAATCTGTCAACATTGACAATTAAAATAACTATCGTATTCGACGTAATAAGCGCCCACGGCAATATTTGCTAATATATGGGCTTGTGAACAATCCCAATTAGCACCTTTTCCGATTGATCAATGTACACAAGACTTATTTATTCGCGTATAATACGCACTCGTGTGTTATATGCACCCTTAATTATGGGCAATTAAATTCTGGAGAAATATATCTGTCGTACATAAACATTTCAGGCTGTCAGCATAAACCACGAAATTTATGTTTCAACTCTGTTTTTCTCTCACCAAAATGATGTTCTAATAAGAGCCCACTATTTAAAATTTTGAGAGCGCCCTGAGCGATTACTACGTCGAATACAGTACTGTTCACAATCACAGCAGCACAAGATCTAGTAGATCTAGAGGTCTAATATCTTATTGGAATGTATTCCAGTCCATTACAATTTACATCAAATACACAACTGTTGCAAAATTCTGATTTGTTTAAGATTCTCAATAGGTTACAATAAGATAAATAAAATCAACATATCAATTTAGTTAGTTTCTGA